CATAATTGAACAACCAGTGTAAGAAAAGCTGTTTGTTATAGCAAAAACATTACTGAAATTCATAATTATTATGAAAGCATACATGACCTCTCCGACTTTATATTAGGTAGCATTTCAACATATGTTCTCCATTTATCAATATTACAGTTTATCTTTGTAACAATCATCAAAGAATAAAACATTCTGAAATACGTACGAGATAAGACTAGTTTGTATTACTTATTTGTTAAGCCTGTCCGTGTATTCATTTTCTGAAAGTTTAAATCTATTTGTGATTTACTTGCGATGTATCATAGTGATTGTTACATTCTCTTCTTTCCTATTTCTATAGTACTACTCGTGGTATTCAGCATCTGTTGTTGATTTAGTTTGAGGATCGGCTTGAGGGTGTGGGTCGGTGTGGGTGTGGATAAAATGGACACCCACACCCATCTTATTTGTTAATAAAGATTCTTTGCTTTTGTTTCAATAATAAAATGTACGAAATATTTGATAGTACACACTTATATAATAAATCAAAAAGATAAAAATGAAATTGATACTTCAATGAAAACTAAAATAGAATTATCTAGTTTTTTTTTAAATAAAATTTCGATTATGTAAATATTATTTTATTATCATTGATAATAAATAGATTCGCTTAGAACATACCTTCATATTTAATATAAAATAATTAAATCTTCGATAATAATCCGTAAATAATTGTTATCAAATTGATTTTTCTTGTTTTAATTCAATGAAAAAGCTGTTTGTTTTGATCGCTCCATTAAGAAAAAAGACAAACTAATCCCACTTAAGACCATTTTCTGATTAAGAATTCAAAAAAAAACTTTTTATTTTACAACTAATTTCAAAGAAAAGAAAGTATTTTTTTCAATATTAATTAATTGTTGTATCCATTCAATGAAAACAAATAAAATCAATAAATAGTATGCATTGTCCTTGGTTTATTTGATTTACGTAATAGTAAGTTGATAAGAACTTGAAGATAAAATTACTCATTTTCATTTATTACTCGAATCGAAGCAAATTCTAATTGTTTCTTTATTCATAACAACAATCAATGTTTTTTTGTGTAACAGGCTAAACAAAAAATATTTTATTCTCAGCTTGCCACTTCCAAGAAAGTGTTCTTCAAATCGGTGCTCTAATTATAATAAATCATTACTATTAACATTCGTTTTTTTTTGTTTGTAAATTTTTATATTTAACTTTTCGAGATTGTATATGTTTATTTTTTTATTGAAAAAGTGATTTTTTTAACTGATAAGATTTAGATATTCAACTATTCAATAGTCAAGTTCGGATGTTCAGATATTCTAGAAGTATGTTACATTTTATCACATTTAAAAAAAATGAGCCATGAACAGAACGTCGAGCATTTTCCACACATGTTGTTGGTAATTACCTGAAAAAGAGCATTTTCAAAAAAAAAGATTTTTATGTTGACCAGGATTGACTATCTTGAACGACTACAATGGCGACTGTCTCAAGAAATTGGAGATACAAACGATCAACGAATCGTTGCATTTGTTTGCCGATCGAAACAATTTTATATACAGCGGCAGTATGAAAGAACGAAATGCTCGGATGAGCATTCTTCGAAAAAATGCAACAATGAAACGTCAAACTAATCCGTGAGAAATTGAAAAAAAAACGAGCAACACTAAGTTTCTATGACATTTTGTCGTTGTACTAAGCTACCTTGGTTGCCTTCTTTCTCCAGACTCACAGTCGGAGTAATTCAAACTCGAATGATGGTTTTAATTCCGAATCGATATTTGCTGCTCTAATTTAATGATTAGATGCACAACAAGCTCAAATCGATGTATTCATGAGACGTTTAATGCAGTCTCATGGTGTCTGTCTTGATCGAGTGGCGGCAAGTGAATTTCAACCTTATCTCTCTTGAGATTCGGAGGGTAAAAACGCAGATATTAATCTGATTTTCGCTAAATCCATTGTCCATGCGCCTCTGAGTGGTGTTTTGTTAGAAAATTCGAAGCTATATGAATCCATGAAGTGAAAGATTTTATTTGGAATCAGACACGTTCAGCACATGTGACTATATGAGAAATGCATATAGTTTTGACGGTACACAATTTGAATGTATTTGTGAGAGAAATCAAAATGTTAAGCAGCATTTTTACACTCGTCCGGTATGTCGAATGTACTCGGATCGAGAATTTTCGGTATGAAGAAGGGTGTGGGTGTCGGTCATCTTCTTAATCACATACACACTCACACCCTCACAAGTATGGGAGAAAATCTGCTCTACGTTCTATATGGAATGTATTTAAAGAAAAAAATAGTGGAATGCATTAGAGATATATTGCATCGAAAGCATTGAACTTCAGATTAACGTTTATTTTTGAAACTTTTTTCGAGCGTAACGATATCCTTCATGAGCAATAAAACTAAGCATTTGACAGTATGATCTTTTAATCGCCGGCACATTATCTAACCAGATAATATAATGGCCTTCAAAACGATCACTTCATTCGATTTTTCTAATTCGAAACATCGCATCTGGTAACAGCAAAACTTCTTGTTCGTCTTCTATTTCTGGTATACATGGAAGTTGAGTTTCAGGAATGGCATAAAGTTGAATGGCCCACTCAGATGGCTGAGAAAAATTAAAAATCATTAGTATGCTTATTCGCCCGTCGTTTAGTTGATTATTACAATACGCTGTAGAAACTTCACGATTGATGCTTGTAGACATAAAGCTGTGGGTGACCGTGAGGCAATTAGGCTGTTCAAACGCCCATTCATAAGCATGCAGAAGATTTTTATCGATAACCATTCCTCGGTAGGTAATTCCACGAAAATAACGACTCTGAAGTTCTTCTAAATGACTCAAGATGTTATTATAGAATGTGTTCGATTTTTCATGCAAGTTCGAGTAAAGTGGTGCCGGTAACGTGTACAAACGGAGCAAGTGCTCGATTTTTCTTTCTCGAAGGTATTCATCTACCAAATAGCATGCTTTTTTATATTGACAGTGTTGAGATGGTACAAAACGATCAATTATTAGCCGGAATTCTTCACATAGAGAAAAAGCGTTTTCATGTAGCGGCGGTAGCGGTGACTCACATTTGAGCCATGTTATCACTCTAGCAATGGCAAAAGCTACAGTTCGAAGGCAAGATGGGCGGATGAGAGTTTTATAGGTCGAGGTGACTTGGTGATGCATAGCGATTAAAAGTGGTGATGAATAATTGCTTATATATTGATTTTCAACATTGTCCTCGACATCCTTAGATTGATTATCGGACTGGTCTTCATTCGTACTGTCATTTTGATGAGTAGGTCGATCATCAATATCTCTTTGATTTTCATCCTCGGAGTCAATTTGAATCAACTGAAGTCCACCTTGTTCTGCAACGGTTTGTGCGAATCTCAAGAGTATATCCTCAGACGGTCGACGAAACAGATTTCGTATGTTGTCATTTTTGGCAAGCTGATAAGCTGTTAAACCATTACTATTTGGTCGATGACGTATAACTCCAAAATAATACAGAAGTATTTGAATAATCTCTTCATGTCCAAGCTCAACTGCTACATGCAAAGCGGTACTGCCGTTTGACTCAATATCATTGACCAAGGCAAATGGTACGTTAGGGTTACTCAAAATTCTCTTTACCCATTCAGAATCATTTGCTTCACAAGCCAAATATAAATCACTAAATTTATTGCATGCACGTGCAGTTTCGCCCACTGCTTCTTGCATGTCTCTGATGAAGTAAGTGGATATCGACAATAGAATATCTTTTCTTTCCGTATGATATCGTGCAAAGAGCAATACATGCAGAATACGAGAAACAAAACAGCCAATCAAAGTGACTGAGAAAAAATACTTTGTAAAAGAATGATTAAGAAGGACGGACAAATGTAAGATTATGTTTGAGAAATGTGCTATAGACATAAAAAGTCAATCACTGTATAATTGAAAGAGATGTTCAATATACATTAGTGGCAATCCAATCCAAGTATTCTTCAAACCAGCATTGAATACTATTTTGCCTTTGTTTATCTCGTATGTGACACTCGTACTTTTTGTTCATTGACTATGTCTGGTCTGATCTAGGCCGAAATGAACACGATTGTTTTGTTTGTTATTTTTTTCGGCAAAGATTACATGTGCTCTACGAATCGCATGAATTAATGACAGAAATCCAGCACAAGGTATGGGAAGGGTGTGGGATCTGTGTATGTGGCTTTTGTTCTTTTCTTCATCACTACACCCACCCCACACCCGCACCCTTGATCGAGTGGCGGCAAGTGAATTTCAACCTTATCTCTATTGAAATCCCGAGGGTAAAAACGCAGATATTAATCTGATTTTCGCTAAATCCTTTGTCCATGTGCCTCTGAGTGGTGTTTTATTAGAAAAATTGGAAGCTATATGAACCCATAATGTGAAAGATTTTATTTGGAATCAGACATGTTCAACACATGTGACTTTATGAGAAATGCATATAGTTTCGACGATACACAATTTGAATGTATTTGTGAAAGAAATCAAAATGTTAAGCAGCATTTTTACATTCGTCCGGTATGTCGAATGCACTCGGATCAAGAATTTTCGGTACGAAATTTGCTATTGTTGTTGAATTAACCGTAGCTAAAGTGACGGAAGAGAAAAGTAGTAATCAATATTTTTACATTGCAGCGTTACTCACTAGGGTTTTGAGAGTAACTATATCCATTCAATGGAATACATAGACCATCACTACTAACTGTAAAATACCTAAGCGCTTCATCCTCTCTTATAAGCCATGTGTCACCGATAATTTGTTTGTCACCATACCCATATGTAGACGAGTATTGATATACTGCTGTCTCTATAACAGAATAAAAATAAATCGTGTTGTTATGGATATGAACAGAAAAAAAAAGGATGAAAAAAGTTTCAGATACCAGGTATACAATACAGTGGTTTTATTGTTATTATTGATTTATAACATTTTTTTGAATCTTGATCTATTGTATAAGTTTGACCATCTTTCATATTTTCAATGACCCACCAATTCGATTTTTGACCATCTGGTATCGAAATCGCTTCGCCTTTCAGTGCAACCAAGCCACGATCCGAATCGTAAGAAAAATTGTAGGTTGACTATTCAGTTAAGTGGTCATAGTTCAGACGCGAGTATCTCTAATAGGAATAACTTACGTATGAACTGTATGGTTTACCATCGGACAATATCATACCAGTTGATATGCTCATTTGTGAACTATGTTGTTTCGGTAAACAGCACGGTTTCGGTTCATTTGGCAATGATCTTGTCAGTTTGCTATTTGAGCCAGCAATAAGAATAGTAAAGATGGCAAGAATTGTGTAGTAAAACATGGTTAAATCGTTGTCTATATAATTATGACGGAATAAAATGTGTATTTTCATTTATATACAACCGAAATAAAAGATAGTAAATATTTGTCTTAGATTAGTATCTTGCATCTATCATGGACCATATTTCGTAAGTAGCACAGATATTGATGAGTCAGTCATATCTCTCACCTAGAATGCTTAAAACCATTTTTTATAAAAAGGTAGAAATGGCGTAGATCATCGTTACATGAACATTCCCTTAAACTTATGGAGCTATCAGTCCGCTTAATAATTTAGTGAAGAAAAAAATCAAAGCTAAAATGCTTGATACTTTTGCTGAGATTCGAAGAAACTTTAACCGGTTTTTTTTCATCCCTATGTGAAAGATAATGGCAGTATAGCACTTTCTAGGATGTTGATGCGAGTCTGACTGTAATTCAAGACAAGATTTATACCCACACCCACACTCATTCAATCACGATGCCGACAACATCACTCGAGTTCGATCCAATTAGTGCACAAAACACTACAGCTACGAGAAACATTCAGTTTGACTTAACAGAAATCATCCAATTGTGTGGCATGTGACGCTTGTATTCTTAGTGCCTCCAGTATAGTGGAGTACTTGTAAAAACGGACTGCAAAGCCACGATGTACCTTTAGTTATGCTTATGAGTTTCGGTCCAGAGATGAGCACAGGACAAATTTTTCCATAATTGTCCAGTCCCCTCCTGCTGACTCCTCTCGGCCTGACGGACAGCAGGATAGTAAGAATCCTTATTGTGACTTTCGATCATCAAATTACATAGTGCTTTATCAGTTATCTTATAGCTGATTTATTTTGTATCACTTTCAAATACAACAACCAAGCTATCGAACAATAACAAATACTGTAAATACAAGAAAGCGTGGAAGCATCTTGACTAATTATTTAAATTGCATGCTGATCACGGGAAATAAATGCAAAAAATCATGAATCCGTGGAATTTTCTCGTCACGATCTTAAGATATAATGGATATGATTAATAAAAAAACAAAGATACAAAAGGACTTACTAACAAGAATGGTACAAGGAAAAAGAAAGTATATATGTCACAATCAAAATGAAACTTAGGTAACATGTGTTGCTAATTAGACTCAAAACTACGCATTAATTATTCTTATTAAAAAATAAATTTCCTTTTTCGTTTGTATTAAGAAAAAAAATACTAAATAACTGTTTTCTTTACTATTGAGACAGAGTATTCTCACTTGTTCATGCTTTTTTGTGAACATCAAGTATTTCTTCTGCGTCGACATCTCAAAATTATTGTCAAAAGTAGTTTTATGAACAAGCAAAGTAGTATTTTGAATATTTGAAGTATTAAATTCTAAAAGAAATCAGCTAATACTTTACTATAGGAAATATTTAAGCTAAAGGCTTCTTCATTTTTTTGGGTTGGAAAATAAATCATCAAAACTTAATAGTATTATATGTTTATATTTAATGTATCATCTATGAACCAGATAAAATTCGAAGACAATTAACGAAAGATAAAAAAAAAACTACCCAAAAAGCATAAACTCAAAAAGCCTATTTTTTGATCGAAACTTGTTAGGACAAATTAAATTATCATAGAGAATAGTGTCTAATTCTACAACTTCCTAGAGTTAATTAGCATTGAATTGAAACTGAAGATAGCTCAATATACATATATAAAATCAATTCCTTATTCTTATCTTTTTCGATTTTCTGAAATTTTAAAATTATTTGAAACTTCGTTAATTCTACCTAAGTTCCAATTTTGTCTGCTACACATACAAAACGCAAAAATAAAATGTTTTTATAAAATTGTTTTATTTCTTGGTGTTGACAAGATTAATAAAAAATTATCGAGTTATTCAGGATTAAGACTAATTTTCTTTCTTAGATAATCAAATCGAGCCTAGAAAGTCATCTCTAAACCAGAGATGAGCACAGGGCAAGGATTTCCATCCTGTCGTGTCCTGTCTTGCTGGCCCATCCCGCCCTGATAGGCGCCAGAACAGGACAAGAAGCAACTAAAATTTTTGTTCTGTTTTGTCCTATGCTCATCTCTATTCCGACCGTAACTGAAAGGGATTCCAGGAATGTTTTCTATGGCAATTCGAATTTACTATTCAAAATAATTCAAATTTACCGAGACAAACAATAGTGTCATAGTTTATTTTACAAATAAAAATTTTCGGAGTCCCATGTATTATAGAAAAATTTTTCTCAGAACCGGAATAAATTTAAGTTCAGTGGCTAGTGCAGGTGGCTTAGCCGCATTTACGCTATAATAGTGCATCCTAGCGGGCCTATGTCTCTCAGACACAACAGACCTAAAAAATATGTAAGTGTTTTGGTACGATACATCATGACACATCACTTTCAGAAAAAAACCCGCGGTCTGGCGCGGATATAGCACACATTATAGGAATAGGCATACCGGCCGTCTACTGGTACTTTTCCTCTAGTTCGAATTGTGTCAGTTCTATATATTTAGAAGGATCTCCAAAAGTCGGTTATTGTTGACCCGTAATGTAGCCATCCGTTTTCTCAGCTATGAGAGATATGATAGGTAGAAAACATTATTGTCTATCGAACTGTATCCTTAGTTTTTCTTGAAAAAGTGTCCCAGAATTAAAAACACCTTCTCGACAACATAACTGTAGCAATTCTATCGCGCACGTCTTGTTCAAATAGAGTTGAATCCTGAAATTTACAATAGACTCTGACCGTATTTCAATTACCAAGCTCTGGAGATTTTAAACAAAAACAATGTGACAGAACATTAATGGCCAATAATACTAGAGATATTATTTCTAATTTTCCTATGATTATTTTCTTAACGATAAATTTAGTGATATTAATAAAATATTTAATAATTTAAAAGTATAAAAATATTATTAAACAATTTCTTTTTAAAATCTCTTCTGTGTAAATAAGTGTATGTAATAGTTACAAGAAAAAAATAAGTAATATTAATATTTATCTTCGCAATAAAGTATCATGACACACGATCATCTTTTTTTGACTCATTAAATCAGCAGAAATATTGAGTCATATCATGACTCAATTAGTATCTAATTGAGTCTATGGTAAAATCATGATTCAACTTCTACTAATTTTAACTGACAACAAAAATATATTTATGATCTAAAAAAACTTTAATCAAGATAGCTCTAAGACTATTTCAACGTATTGAGACTATCTATCTGTATATATATATATATATATAATAAAAATCTTTAATGATAACAATTTTAATTCGATTAAAACAAATGATGAAGATATATGATGTTTCTTATGTAATTCTATCGTTGTTAATCGTTCAACAAATTAATGGAATTACAAGTCCTCTTCAACCATATACTAGCTATAGATATTCAATTGAACTTGAACGTGGGTGTGGGTGTGGGGTGTGGGCGTGGTTCTTAGTCTCCTCTTCACCCATACCCACACCCTGACACCCACACCCACGCCCACCCACATCCCACACACACACCCACGTCCACCCACATCCCACACACACACCTACGCCCACCCACACCCCACACACACACACCCACCCACACTCCACACACCCCCCACACCCCACATACCCCCTCACACCCTCAAGTATAGAGTAAGATAGATATTCATACACATGTCACATCTCTTCCGTTGTATAACATTAATAAATCAGTCAAAGATGAAATCCATCAAAAGTCTATTCAAGTAAACCTGTCGTTGATTTTAAGCCTTCTTTTGCTTGGCCGATTCGTTTCAAGAGTAGTTTTATTTCTCGATCGTTTTCAACAGCATTTGCTTGTAGTAACTTCAATGCATCATTGAATGATATTAACGCTGACTTATAATTACCAAGTGTCATATGAATTAGACCAATACAACGCAACTTATCAGGAATATCATCTGAATTCTTCTGTTTGTCTCTTTGAATTTTCAAGCTTTGCTCTAAATATTCAAGTGCTAATTCGTAATTATCATTTAGTTGATGGAAGTATCCGATTCGTTCCAAGCATATAATTTCAATATCACTGGTATCCGCCCAATGAGAAATCGTATTTTTCAATATAGATTGAACTTTTTGATAGAAACCAAAGGCTTTATTGCTTTCATCGACACTGTCATAAGCATTCTCTACCATATTGTGCAGACATCCCATCAAATATTCCTTATGATTATACCCAGAGAGAAAAATTCCAGGAGATGTCACCAGTATTTTTTTTACTGCCTCTAAAGCAGTGCCATAATCGCAATCACTATGAACGATTTTTATGAAATTTTCCAGAATAAAATAATCGTTCGTTTTCTTTCTGTTAATTCGTTGCGAGCATATCACTTGAATTTTTTCGATATACCTCGAATGCGAAAACCTGTTTTCTAGTAGGAATCGGAGTTCTTCATAGAAACAAAAAGCTTTGATGTTTTCATCACAATCATCGTAAACATGCGATAACAATTCAAAAACACGTTTAGTATAATAACACTCACACATGGTATTTGCATCACATGGTATCAGTAGTTCTTTTACTGCCTCTAAAGCCATACCATAGTCTCCATCCTTATCAAGGGTTCCGATGAAATCCCTGAGAATGGAAAGAGCTTCTTCTTTTTCATCGTTCGTGCTGCATATATGGCGGCAATACATATGGACTTCGTTTCTTTCGGTGGACAGAATATAGTCTGCCGACTGGCGGCAGGCATATTCCGGCCATAGTATTTGTTGTAGCTTAATCGGTTTTCTGGGTCCAAACTTTCCTTCTAGACGACTTAAAAGATTATCACGATCACTTGAATCGAACTTAATCTTCTGCCTAGTCAATATTTCAGCAAAGTTCTCCAATGCTTCGTTGACTCGACCATCTTCGTAGAGCAAGCGTGTGATGTTGTCTAAGCTTTGAATAATATCATTATGATCTGATGGAAGCAGTTGTTTTCGAATTTCCAACGATCGTCGATAATAATCTAGTGCATCTATCACATCATCACTTTTCCATGCGATGAGTCCTAGGTT